ATTACAAATAATGTTTTTCATTATTGGCCTTGACAAATGGAGGGCTGTTTGTACCTGTTGTATTTACATTTAGTGGAACCCCATACCTCCTCCCTGACTTCAGCAGTGTGTATTCTGTATGTAATACATGGGATCTGCCAGTTAAGATGTTTATTTGAGAAAGAAAACTGCCTGGTCKAAGAGCTGCTGTAAATTAAGAGGGGTATAACCCATGGTTTTGCCTTCTATTTTTATTAGATTGTGAATCTGAGTTTTGGATTCAACTGCTGGGTTCCCAAACCAACAGGTGATATCGTAGCAGAGTATGGAAAATTAACTTTATGCTTCTGCAGACACCAAATAAAAGGAGTATGCATTAAAAAAATGAAGGAGCTGGTGACTGTTGCAACTTGTGTCCGACAGCTTAAATCACTATCAATATGCACGCCTAAATATTTGAATGAATTCACCTGTTTAATAGCATTATTGTGTATAGTCACAGGGCTATGGCCACCAACTGATCTAGGATCCAGCAGCATCTCAACAGTCTTCCTGGTATTTATGAGTTTGTCGCACCAGTCGACAAAATTGTCCACAGCAGTTCTGTGGACAGAGAAGTTTAGAGCCTTGGTGAAAAGACTGATAATGACAGCATCGYCCGAGAACTTAATAATAAATACTGATTTGGCTCTGAACTAACGCAATCATTTGTATACAGAGAAAAAAGGTGAACTGGGGGGCACCAGTGCTGCTTATTGTTGTGTCTGAGAATTTATTGAATTTAAATACATTTAAAATYAAATTCATTGCAATATTAATGACATTTTTTTCTTTTTTTCTGATTCATGTTTGTCCTAGCTTCTTGAGGAAACCAAAAATCCCATACCAGGCTTCTCCAGAATAATAAAAATTCCCGAAGAGGCCAGTGAAATGGCTGTAAAACAAAATGGCTCATTTGCTGGAGTTCTGTTCTTTCCAGACATGCATCCAGTAAGACTGAAGTACATTTAATGATAATAGTAATAGTGATTGGATATTTTTTTAAATATGAATATTGATTAAACATTCAGAAACTATATTCCTCTCTCAGCAGGATGATAACAACAGTTTCTTTTTCAACAATGAAATCTTGGGAATTGAAATGGGAGCAAATATCTCTAACCTCTCACAAACCATAGAAATCCATTTTTTTAACGTAAACAAGGTAAAGGAGATGTTAACACGTTAAACAATGGTCTTAAACTGGACAGAATAAAGTTTCTGATTGTTATTTTTATCCGAATTACAGAACAGAAACAGTGTTTCTTGCAGGTCGTGGAGCGGCACAGGTAAAAATATGTATTTTTAAGCTTTTAAAACATTTGCTTAAAGGAGTAGTTCACGTGTTTTAAAGAGGGGTTCACAGAAAAGGTTATGAACAATATTATCTTACCTGTTATGGATATAGAGTCACGGTAACAAAAGGTGTAGCACAAAGTTTTGTGGTCCTCCTGGTGAARTTGGAAGCCATTTTCCAGAAATTATTTAATCTTAAATACAGCTAAACCAGCACACTGTGATTGGAACCAACAGAGCTGCTGCCAGGTTTCATGCACTTGGGCATTGAGCGGATGAAGTCACAAGAGTGGTGTTTAAAAATTGGCAGACTGCAGGTTCCTATTGGACAACCTGGTTTCTAAATATAAAAATAATATCAAAGAATAAAAACTATTTAATTTGGCATGTGAATGTAAYTGACTGTGAGATTTAGAAAATTTCACAATGGATGCCACCTGAGATCTGTTGGGAGTCAAATTGGCTGTAGATACCCATAAGATGACAGTATTCCATTTTTGTCTGATCTGTTAGCTTTTCCATCTTAAAGAATTAAACTTTATTTCTCCAAACTAAGGCCATTCAAARAGCTWCTTACAACAGATAAGACATTAWTTGCTCATAACYTTAGTACTGAACCCAATTTTAACAGATCTATTTAAAGGTTTTGTACAAAGTAGCCAATGTGAGTCACAAGAAAACARATTAGTTTTAATGTCCCTTTAAAACAGATCCATAAAGGTTCTTTGTTCTTTGACTAACACATAAGGATGTCTGGAGGCTGAGTTCACCCAAAAAGTCTGTTCTGACCGGTCAGAACCTGTGGCTTGATCATGTGGCCACTCATTGATTTAATGCAACATAACGGCAAAATATGTTGAGGCAACAGTGATCTTATTCTGAACTAAAGGACAAATGGCCTTTTAAAAAAATTTAAACTTTCATTTATAACAAAAAAATGCGTTAAAAACTACTTTTACTTTTATTATTGGGCCACAAACTTTAAAGTTTAAGCCATGTTTTCTCTTTTATTATTATAACAAAGTTTGCTTCTACCCTTCTAGTTGAGCCCAGGAACAGTTCAGTCTGGGTCCCAGATGGTTGCCAAACAGTGGAGACTAATGACAGCATCACCTGCAGATGCTCACATCTCACATTTTTTGCCATACTCATGGTAA